CTGTTCAGAGAGTTGTTGCTATTCCTTTCTTCGATCTCCTGTTGAGTTTGTAGGTGTTCAGAATGGTTTGATCCCTATCCAGCTGAATTCCTGAGACCAGACGAAATCCAGGTCTCCTACTCCTCCGCCATCTTGCTCTGCCCCTCTCCTTTTGTTGTTTTTTAATGGTGTCTTTCAAAGAGCAAAAGTTTTTAATTTTGGTGAAGTGGAATGTAGCAATTTTAACTGAAATTTAATTTCTGGTTTTATTGCATTGTGGTAAAAAATATGTGCTCTCTGTCTTGTCAAGTTTTAGAAACAGAGTTTTTCTTTATGGTCTACTGAGTTTTATAACTGTTTCAAGGGAGTAGGAATTTAATGTGTCATATGTGAAGGGTAGAAAGTAGAAATATAAGTGTTTTATAAGCTGTTATTTAGACCTCCTATTTGTTTGGTTTTTGCCCTCTGATCCGTCAAAGATGCAGAAAAATATTAAAGCACCCCAGGACTATTTATGTTAATTTCTCCATATATTCCTAACAGTCTTTTCATATTTAAGTATTCTTGCCTTTAGCATGAAAAATATATCAATTTGTCCAGTTTATTAACTTGTATTGATGCTGATTTATTTGATGGTATTACATTCTTTTTTCCTGAATACAAGTGATATATTTTCATCATTTTCTAATATAATTTTTTGTGTAAATTAGTCATGTCTTTTATAAATAGCACATGCATGGATTTTAGTCAACTAATCAATATCTTTTTTTACTAAAAGAATTAACCTATTAATATTTATTATTATAGTTATATACTCTGTCTTATTTTGGAAATTTTGTTCTGTTTCTGCTTCTGTTCCTTTGGCAGTTATCTAATCTCAAGTTTTGCCTTATCATCTCAAGATCTTTATGGGAATGTAACCTCTTGTTAATTTTAATGCCTATGTTTCTACATTCCATGGCCAAGAGTTTAGCATACTTTATGCTCCTCTCACCCACTCACTACCCACATCTCCATCCTGATCTTTGTTAATGTACTCAAGAGATTTAGATTTAAATTGTTATATTTTCTACTTTAATACTTTTTTTCCAAAAATCAATAAACATTAGCATTCTTTCTCATAACTGGATTTATAAGAATTGTTAAATTTGTTTCTACTTCATTGGATTCCATTGTTTCCTATCCATCCTTAAATATGATGGTTTAAGGATGTGTGGGATATCTTTTGTTTCATCTCTGGATTCGTTGATGTGTTCATAGAATTTTTTTCCAGAAAAGAAACAAGCGGTATACATTAGATGAGCTCTTACTAAGAATATGTTTTTCTGTTGATTTTGCAAGTGAAAAACTCTTTGGGTTTTGTATAAAAGTGGGTCACAACCTTCCTCCTTCAAAACTCTGAAAGATTACTCCATTATTTTTCTAATTTCTTTGCCAGCTTCATCCTGCCTAGAAACTTGTGGGATTTTCATTTTTATTTTTGAGGTTCAATTCTTTTTCCAGAATGTATCCAGGTTTCACTGCATTAATTTTACTTAAGATGTGTGACCTCTTTCATATAGATCATGTCTTCTTATAAAGATAATACTTTTCTGATTTTTTTTCCTAAATTCTACCCTATATTATCTTCAGAAGTATGCTTTTATTCTTTGACTGCTGAATACAAATGTCTTTTTCTTGCTCTACAGAATGTTCTCACAAGTTCCATGTTGTTTGTTTGTGTTATTCTCCTTTTTTACCCATGAATGCTATGACCTGCTAATATTACGTCATCAGCCCCAAGTGGTGCATTCATTGAGCCAAAGGTAGCTGTCATGGTCTCAGCTTCCCTCAGAAGTTGTACTGCCAGTCTTAGCACTTTCAAATGCCTCATTTTTAGCCTTCTTGACTCTATCCTTTAATTTTTTGCCAGGGACCCCTCCTTCAATATTTTCTGTATTCCTTAAGTGTTAAGGGGATTAGAGAGTTTTGTATGCAGCTCCATTGCATATTTGGACTAAATACACATCCTAGGGCCTGGGCCCTGATGCTAGCAGGGAGCTGGAAGATGCACACCCATGCAGCAGGGGCTGGTCTCCACCTTCTGGCACAAACACTCCACAGGAATCCAGCTTTTGCCCTAGGCAGTGGGTGGGAAAACGGAAGAATGGGATCTCAGAACCCCACTCTCAAAACTCGGATTCCAACTCAATAGGAGTGGAAATCTGAATCAAGAAAATAACAACAAGAAAGCATGGCTCCAAACTAGAAACCGTACAGGGCTCCGTCATAAAACCTTCCACAGGGATGTTTCTACCACCTGGTGTGTGCTTGGGCCTCCTGAGGAAGATAACTCTGGCTGAAAATGAGATCGCAGACAAGACTGCAACATTTTTTAGAATCAAGAAAACTCGAAAATAAACCAAATACCCTTGAATAGGGAAGCTGATAAATGAAATGTGGTATATTCATATGATAAAATATATTCAGTGTTAAAAGGACTGCACTAAATCAACATGGATAGGGCACAGATATATAAAATTAAATATAAAAGAGCAGCCTTGCACCAAGTGGGAAATAAACTCCAGCAGCCAGTTGAAAAAAAAAATTAAATATAAAAGAGCAAATAAGGCATACATAAACCTGTAGTACTCACCCAACTTTTTAAAAATAGATGCACAAAAATTATATATGCATGTAATATCTACATACATATAGAACATATGCATATAAGATACATGAACATTATATATACATACAAACATATAAAAGAGACTGAAATAACACACACTAAATTAATGACAGTGGTTTTCTCCCCAGTGGAGAGGAGAAAGTAGTGTGATTAGATATGAATAACAAAGTAAACTAAAGCTTCATCTGTAATGTTTAAATAAAGAGTGTTGACAATTGTTGAGGCTTCATGATGGGCACCTAGATATTTGTTCCCTTTCTTCTTTCCAAATTTTTTATTTTATCTCAAAACTAAAAGCATACTCCTTGACTTGTACAAGAACCAGAGACGGTCTCTGTCCTCCTGAAACGCCAGTTGCAAATAATTTGCTGTAACTGATCAATAAAACACTATTTACGGAACATGCACAGGCACAGACATGGGTAACCCGAGCCCTTGCTCTATGGAAATGGCTCACGGAAATTTACTGATAGGCTGATCCACACTCCTAAAACCAGACCCACTCTTGCCATTCCTACATTTGTAGCTACGACTTTAAAATGACTAGGCATTGCTTTAAGGTGAATTAAGGAATCCTGAAGGAGGCAGGAGGACCCATCTCCTTGTCTGCCCCATTCCTGCTGGATGGCCACCCTTCTCCCTCCATGCACTACCACTGAGGAGTTGCTGATCAGCGCCCACTTGGTGGCCCAGGGGAGCACAGAGCAGGCCTGCCAGAACTGCAGACTGCGGCCTCCTCCCTTCACATATTCTGCGGGGAGCAGGGCACTCAGGGGGCCGGCTGAGCCCTCTCCACCAGGGCCGCCCTCCTTCTCCACTGCTCGGGGCCACCTCTTCTTTCCAGGCTCCAGGGAAGGTGGGTATCCTCCCCTGCCAGGGCTAATATCCCTTTTTCATTCTGAACCTCTGACCCAATTGTATGGCTAATTTTGATACAACCTTTGTGAAGAGTAAATATGTTTCTGTCATATAAAGATCAGAATGTACCTTCTTATTGAGAGAGTGACTTTGCAAACAGATGATCTAGCGGCCTCCTCACCTGCTCTTTCATTTCGGCATACACTTTCTCTGAGTTCAGTTCCACCTGCCGCTTAAACTCTTCCAGAGCAGCGTCTGCCTGCTGGGCCTGCAGCCTCTGAACTTCAGTCACACGCGTCAGCTGTTCCTCTTTTTCCCTGGAAAAGTCCAAAGAAGCTTCACAGTTGAAATGTAAAATTAAAGAATGGGGCTTGAATGAAAGAGCAAGATTTAACCCTCTCTAAAGTAACATTCAGATTTCAATTTTTTGTTCCAAATTCCATAAAACTTCCCTGTAAAAAGCTGACAATAAAATACTTTGCCTGCAGAAAAAGAGACAGTGTTAGTGTTTTGATGACTACTTTCAAAGATTTCTTTCAAACTACTTTCAACGATTTCCCTAAAAACAAAACCATTTAAACCCATTTATCTCCATCAGCTGATGAATGGATAAACAAGAGAACAGTATAGTTGTACAATGGAATATTATTCAGCCTTAAAAAACACTGAAGTTCTGACACATGCTCCCCCACGGAGAGCCTCAAACACCCCATGCTAAGGGAAAGAAGCCAGATATAAGGGGCAACATACTGTATGAGTCCATTTATGTGAAATACCCAGAATAGATAAATGCTTAGAGACGGGAAATAGATTAGTGGTAGCCAGGGGCTGGGGTGGGGGGGTCAGGGGGGATGGGGAGTGATTGCTAATGCATATAGAGTGTCCTTTCTGGTGATGAAAATGTTATGGAATTAGATCGTGGGGATGGCTGCACATCCTTGTGAATATACTAAAGTCTGCTAAAAGGTGTGCTTTAAAAAAGGATGAATTTTATAGCATGCAAATTATATCTCAATTAAAACAAAACAAAAAAAAACAACATACCATTAGAAGTATCTCTAATATGCATGTCTAGCAGGGTGACAGATGCAACAGAGCAAACTGATGGTTTGAGACTGTTCCATTGCCTTCTATTAGACTGGCCTACCGATACCCATCTCATTTACATCTTGAACTCAAGTTATATGGTCAAAAGGGTTCAACAGAACAAGAGAAATCTTTACATATTGAGAGAAGGAAAAAATGCAGGCTTTAGGTTATAAGTGCATGAAAGTTAACAATGACTCATACTGAGTTCTGACTACACGCTGGGCAGTGTGCAAAATATTTTTATATATCTTCTCTCCTTTACTCTCATAGCAAACTTATATAAGAGTATTATTACACCCCTAGTTTTACAGAGCAGGCAACTGGAGCTTAGAGAGTATTTCCAAGGCAATTACATTTAGTAGCAGATGCAGCCAGGCCCAGTCCCGGCAGGCTGATCCTAGAGCTCATGCTGTTGGCTACTACGCTCTGCTGCTTTCCTGATTTTCCAGACGCCATATTCTATGGTCTGAATGTCTGAATTCTATGGCCAAAGAATGCTGGGAGATAGGGTGATTTAACTCACATGAGTCAAATTTTAGAGAAACATCATGATGGGGAGTTGGAGGGAGACATTTCCCAAACAATGATGCTACTGTCTTTAAAGAGGTGGCAAAAAGTAATTTTGAGTTTTTTGGAATTACTCAGATCTGAGTTTAAACCCCCTCTAAGACACTCAATAATTTTTAGGCTTTCTAATAAGAACATACATGTGATATAAAGTATCATAATACCAAACTTTCTCCAAAAACATTGAAAACTTTCTCAAAGCTTGAATGCCAAAATACTGATAAGAGCAAGTGTCACCTAGTTTCCTTTTCAGCAGGATTCTCCTGTCCCTCGGTAAAGAAATGTGGCAATGCATATTTAGAGTTTCCCCCCTGTTTGGATAGAATCTGCAAGTAAGTAGCTCTCTGCATACTCCATAGTATGAACATATGCCATATCCACCTTCCCTTTATTTTTCATTATATACCACTTGGGTCAACCTCTTCATACCCACCACACATTCTTCTACTTGAAAATGACCAAATCAATACATCCCTGTGCTAAAAAAAAAAGCAGCTTTTCCACTGAAACCCTTTCTACATGTGTATTTCACAGGTGGAGCCACCATTTTAATGAGCTAAGGGTTTCACACTCTGCCACAAGGTGTGTGAGGCCCTCCATGAGAGCGAAGCCATTCTAGTCATGCCGCATGCCAGATGTAGCTCCTGCCCGCTGCCTTTTACAGCAATATGGTGCAGGATCCTGGAACTTTTTTAAAAAGCTTTTCTTTAAGTGGTTTACTTTAGTTGACTCTTCAACAGGAACCTGAACATCTTGCTGCTCATTTTTCTTCCATGTCGTTAAAATAAAATGTCTTTAATGTTAACTGGTTGCCAAATTCTAAGGCCTTAATGTTTCATTTCTTTGCCACATAATGTTAATATTAGCTAGTAGACAACGGTGATTAATAACCGGATGTTACACTGAAGACTGATTCAGGAGACATCACCACACAAAGGACTGAGCACTCTGATGGCAATAGGGAATTTCAATTTGGTCTGGTGCATTTTCATTCTTCTTCTATTACTCTGCCCAAGAAGCAGGAAGGCTTGGCCAGGGTTTCCCTAATAAAAATATTGAATATTTGCTTACATATTGAAATATTTATTAAAAAATAAATATTCAAATATTTGAATACTAAAGCAACAAATGAGAACAACATAAAGTCATATAAGGTATACTGGGTACCATGTCCTAGACCTAGGTTGGCAAATGTGATGGATATTTGCCATAAACATTTTGTCACAAATGTTTAATGGGTATTTTCTCTGGTGTGACAGACCCAAATGACTGAATGGGGCGGCCAAGAATGCTGTGTTAAGAGGATTCTGAGACCAGGCTCAGAGGAAAAGGCTACTGTGGTTGGTGAATAATGTCCCCTTGTAGGGGATAAGGGTTAGGCAGCACAAGAACTACTTCCATGCTACCCAGGGACGACAGTGACTAATTCATCCTATGTTACTCTTTCATTTTTTAGGGCCTTCTAAAAGCACTTGAAAAGACTTTTTCATATCAGGATTACAATTTTTCAAAGGTTTACTTTGCTTGGTCAGTCTGTCCATAAACACAAAAGAAAGTACACTGGACACTATCTGAAAACTTAAAAAATTTATTTATCATATAATTTAAAAATTATGTACCATTACTTAGCCAAAAGAAAATTTTGCTAACACATTTTATAAATATATGACCAGTGGCTGAAATATCCACTCTGTTCTATGAATGTTATAAGTCAGCTGTTTTACATTTTTTGCCCAAATATTCACATGAGCCATTTAGTTAATGTAAACACTTTCAATTTAATAGGGCAAATATTTTCTCTGTATCATTTCATTCTTACCTACCAAGTTTAGTCACTTACTTTAAAACTAACTTATAGCCACACAAATCAAAGTCATAAACTTTACCTATAATCAGGTATATATTACAGACCATATTTAAGATATTGTTAAAACCTTGTGTAGTAATGCACATTGCATTTAATTGGTAATTTCTATCATGATTTACAAATAGAAAACATTGATGTATATTAAATACTAAGCATGGGGAAATGAGGAAATCTTCCAACTGGCTTCCAGTCCCACCACACTTGCTAGTAGTAAAGCTAAATATCAAAAAAGGCCTCCCTCAGTGTAAATCGACATGACAAACACATTGAGCGCCACTAATATTTAGGAAGTTTCTCTCTTAATATAAATAAAATATCTGTCTTAATTTAAATAAAGAGATGATATTCATTTTAATGAGGGATACATTTTAATATCTACTAAAGTAATGAAGTAGACATGAAAACTTTCAGCATTTGAAAAAGAGAAAGGTCTGCTTCTCACTAAGAACAGTATTCCTTTTACCATGATTCCGAAGTATGGCCTGTAAGAAGCAAAAAAAAAAAAAAAAAAAAGACTTTGAAGATTATTTTTTCCAGTGGAACTAGCTGTGGGGCCGAGTATAACTGCATCACTCAAATGCCTTAAAGCAGGGTCTCCATGAAGATAAAAAGGTGGGAATAAAATTTGCTTTTTAGTTCTAATTTATTTATAAAATGCAGTAAATTTTCCTCGTCTGAGATATAAAGCATAAAGAAAAAAGAAGCTGCATTCTTATACAACCACAAGCCAGCTCAGATTAAAGGATGTTCTGAAGTGCATGATTATTCCAAAAAGGCAATAAAATGTAGGAGACTAATAGACTACAATTTAGTATTTCTTGAGCTTTACAAGCTAACATTTATATGTGCAGGCCAACCTTAATTTGAAAATCTTCCCTTTGCACATTTCTGTACCAGCACTTTTGATAATGATGGCGGTGATCCAACATATATTTATAAGGCTTCACATTACAGGATACTTCATTTGCTGCCAGCGTGGCATCTCCACTGGAAACTCCAAGAAAAACAGAACAAAACAAAAAAACTTCAAACAAGTCTGAAAACCAGCTAGAAGAGTCTCCATTCCCTTTCCAGCTGGGCTGGAAAACAAGACTTTCGAGCAGCTATATCATCTACATTCATGGCTGCTGATTGGCACTCAAGGTGATTAGAGTGAGTCAAAAACATGAAGATACAATTGACTTAAAAGTCATTAAAAATAATATCTTTCACTACGCATGATAAATGAAGGAACTTCTTTGGCCTCTTCTTCACATGACTGCTAGGACTAGGGGTCTCTGCTAAATTCTTATAAAAAAAATGGTAAACACTGTGAACAACTAAACATTTGATACTTCAAGAGTCAGAAAGAAACGTGCAGTAAAATGGAAAGTGGTATTCCTCTCAATATTGGGAAAATGACAATACTCCTCAATTGTTCTATAGATTTAACACAATCACTGTCAAAATCCTGGATGGGATTTTGCAGAAATTGACAAGTGGACCCTGAAATTCATATGGAAATACAAGGTACACAGAATTGGCAAAACAATTTTGAAAAAGAAGAACAAAGGTGGAGAACTCACATTTCCTGATTTCAAAACTTATTACAAAGCTAGGTTAATCAAAACAGCATGCTACTGGCATAAGAAAAGACATATAAATCAACAGAATAAAGATTCCAGAAATAAACCCTTACATCGATGATCAGAGAATTTTTGGCAAGGGTGCCAAGACAATTCAATGGAGAAAGAACAGTCTGTACAACAAATGGTGCTGGGACAACCGGATATCCATTTATCCAAAAGAATAAAG